TGAAGAATTAATGTTGTTCAGCTCCATTTATCCGAATACATGGAGCAAAACAGCGTTCTTTCTTCAATCTCCTTTTAAAGGCAGCGTCTCGGCAGAATGAACCTACCTCAGATTTTGACACAGATGAATAGGAGGCCCTTCAAGTGAACCAAAACAGCAACTACGCGCCGAAAATGAGAACTCTAAAATGAAGCCCTCCCAACATTTCTCTACTTTGACAAATTCTTCTGGTACCTCTTATGTTAGCGATAAAGATAAGGCAGATGCTCTTGATGCCTATTTTGCCAGCGTTTACTCTCCTGTCGCTATTAATGACAGTGATAGTGATGCTGACAGAATAAGCGCTGATGCAGTGCTGCCTCGCCATTTTTGCAATAATGTTCATTTTCATCCCGCAAATGTCTACCAGTTCCTTATCAAACTAAAACCTTCCATAATTGAAACATTTGATGGCATCCCTCAGATAGTATACCTAAAATGCGCCTCGTCGCTTGCGGCTCCGCTTGCACATATATTCAACATTTCGATGTTGTGGGGGGAGGTCCCTGACTTGTGGAAAGAAGCTTTGGTTACAGCAATTCCAAAAACTGACGGAGCATGTCGAATTGATAAGTTCCGTCCAATTAGCTTGCTTCCCACTCCTGTTAAGATCATGGAAAGAATCATACGTTAAAAACTTTTGGAATGGCTAAAGGTCTATATATATATAAAACTCAATGTCTGTGAGGATGTTCGTTTAGTTGTTCGTTCGTTATAGAAACGCGCGCCACTGAACCGATCCGGCTGAAACTTTGCACACGTACATTTTCGACCCCGGCGGTGGTTTAGAGCTACTTTCCGCTGCAATTCGCCGGGCCATTCTATCGATTTATTGATTTGTTTGCTCAAACCTAGAAAAATGAAGAGTCATCATGGCAACCGATCATTTTTACATATAAGCATTTAAGCAGGGGCGGTAAAGTCCATTTCAGTCTTAAAGTTGGTAGGGTGCGGCAATTAGTCTGAAAGCGCTTTATGCGCATGTTGGAAGAAATCTAGAGGCGTAAGTTTACAAGTTCTGTGGCTTAACTAACTTGAAGTCTCGGGTGAGACCGGGGCCACCAGCTAGTGCTTTATAAAGCGGTATAAGTATCTTCGGAGAGCTAGCATTAGTATTGCGGAAAAGCAGAAAGAGTGAAGAATAAGCTTTTTTGACTAACGTATTGATATGCTCAGTGAAGTTAAGATTTGTATCAATCACGACACCCAAATCCCTAACAGTATCACAACTCTTCAATATAGAGCCTTTGATGTGATACGAGGTAGTATTTCCACCTCCAAGATGAAGCACTGAGCATTTGTCAAAATTTAACGCTAATTCCCAGACCTCACACCAATTGGGCAAATTATCAAGAGACCTTTGCAAGTCCATTTGAATCTCTGGAGCTACTTCCGGATCATAGTTTTCACAGTATCAGTCTTAAGCTAGGGCATGCCAACAACTCTTAAATGCGGGAAATAGGGACTTTTCTCTAGTTTTCTAAGTTCGTTTGGGCATCAGCCCCTTTCCTTTTCCGTATCATTGTTTATCTGATCTTTCTTCTATCACGCTTTTCCCTGCAGAAAAAGGTACGAACTCGAAGCGGAGTTGAAGAATTAATGTTGTTCAGCTCCATTTATCCGAATACATGGAGCAAAACAGCGTTCTTTCTTCAATCTCCTTTTAAAAAGCAGTGGTATCACGCAGAGTACTACCTCAGATTTTGACACAGATGAATAGGAGGCCCTTCAAGTGAACCAAAACAGCAACTACGCGCCGAAAATGAGAACTCTAAAATGAAGCCCTCCCAACATTTCTCTACTTTGACAAATTCTTCTGGTACCTCTTATGTTAGCGATAAAGATAAGGCAGATGCTCTTGATGCCTATTTTGCCAGCGTTTACTCTCCTGTCGCTATTAATGACAGTGATAGTGATGCTGACAGAATAAGCGCTGATGCAGTGCTGCCTCGCCATTTTTGCAATAATGTTCATTTTCATCCCGCAAATGTCTACCAGTTCCTTATCAAACTAAAACCTTCCATAATTGAAACATTTGATGGCATCCCTCAGATAGTATACCTAAAATGCGCCTCGTCGCTTGCGGCTCCGCTTGCACATATATTCAACATTTCGATGTTGTGGGGGAGGTCCCTGACTTGTGGAAAGAAGCTTTGGTTACAGCAATTCCAAAAACTGACGGAGCATGTCGAATTGATAAGTTCCGTCCAATTAGCTTGCTTCCCACTCCTGTTAAGATCATGGAAAGAATCATACGTTAAAAACTTTTGGAATGGCTAAAGGTTTCGGATTTGATCCCCAATGAACAACATGGCTTTTTGAATGGAGCTTCCACCACAACAAATCTGGTTGATAGTGTGTTCGAGTGGAGCTTAGCAGTCAACGAGGGCAAATCGGTTGACATAGTTTATGTTGATCTCTCGAAAGCGTTTGATAAGGTCTGTCATGCTAAATTACTAACTAAAATGAACAAATTAGGGATTAAAGGAAATCTTCTTTCGTGGTTGACTTCTTATTTGCATGATCGGTATATGACTGTGAGAGTTGGTCATCGTTACTCCAAAAAGTACTTATGCACTAGTGGTGTTCCACAGGGTGGTGTCTTAGCCCCCTTGCTTTTCCTGATTTACACCCTTGACCTACCTTCTACTTTGAAGACTTCCGCTAGCGTACACATCCGGATGTATGCTGATGACATAAAGATTTTTGCAGTCTATGATCCGGAAGTAGCTCCAGAGATTCAAATGGACTTGCAAAGGTCTCTTGATAATTTGCCCAATTGGTGTGAGGTCTGGGAATTAGCGTTAAATTTTGACAAATGCTCAGTGCTTCATCTTGGAGGTGGAAATCTACCTCGTATTACATCAAAGGCTCTATATTGAAGAGTTGTGATACTGTTAGAGATTTGGGTGTCGTGATTGATACAAATCTTAACTTCACTGAGCATATCAATACGTTAGTCAAAAAAGCTTATTCTTCACTCTTTCTGCTTTTCCGCAATACTAATGCTAGCTCTCCGAAGATACTTATACCGCTTTATAAAGCACTAGCTGGTGGCCCCGGTCTCACCCGAGACTTCAAGTTAGTTAAGCCACAGAACTTGTAAACTTACGCCTCTAGATTTCTTCCAACATGCGCATAAAGCGCTTTCAGACTAATTGCCGCACCCTACCAACTTTAAGACTGAAATGGACTTTACCGCCCCTGCTTAAATGCTTATATGTAAAAATGATCGGTTGCCATGATGACTCTTCATTTTTCTAGGTTTGAGCAAACAAATCAATAAATCGATAGAATGGCCCGGCGAATTGCAGCGGAAAGTAGCTCTAAACCACCGCCGGGGTCGAAAATGTACGTGTGCAAAGTTTCAGCCGGATCGGTTCAGTGGCGCGCGTTTCTATAACGAACGAACAACTAAACGAACATCCTCACAGACATTGAGTTTTATATATATATAGACCTTTAGCCATTCCAAAAGTTTTTAACGTATGATTCTTTCCATGATCTTAACAGGAGTGGGAAGCAAGCTAATTGGACGGAACTTATCAATTCGACATGCTCCGTCAGTTTTTGGAATTGCTGTAACCAAAGCTTCTTTCCACAAGTCAGGGACCTCCCCCCACAACATCGAAATGTTGAATATATGTGCAAGCGGAGCCGCAAGCGACGAGGCGCATTTTAGGTATACTATCTGAGGGATGCCATCAAATGTTTCAATTATGGAAGGTTTTAGTCTGATAAGGAACTGGTAGACATTTGCGGGATGAAAATGAACATTATTGCAAAAATGGCGAGGCAGCACTGCATCAGCGCTTATTCTGTCAGCATCACTATCACTGTCATTAATAGCGACAGGAGAGTAAACGCTGGCAAAATAGGCACCAAGAGCATCTGCCTTATCTTTATCGCTAACATAAGAGGTACCAGAAGAATTTGTCAAAGTAGAGAAATGTTGGGAGGGCTTCATTTTAGAGTTCTCATTTTCGGCGCGTAGTTGCTGTTTTGGTTCACTTGAAGGGCCTCCTATTCATCTGTGTCAAAATCTGAGGTAGGTTCATTCTGCCGAGACGCTGCCTTCAAAAGGAGATTGAAGAAAGAACGCTGTTTTGCTCCATGTATTCGGATAAATGGAGCTGAACAACATTAATTCTTCAACTCCGCTTCGAGTTCGTACCTTTTTCTGCAGGGAAAAGCGTGATAGAAGAAAGATCAGATAAACAATGATACGGAAAAGGAAAGGGGCTGATGCCCAAACGAACTTAGAAAACTAGAGAAAAGTCCCTATTTCCCGCATTTAAGAGTTGTTGGCATGCCCTAGCTTAAGACTGATACTGTGAAAACTATACAGCGACTTCCTATAACAAATGGAGCAGATGTGAAAGAATAGAACGGAGAAGGAACGAGCGTATGTGGACACATCTTCCAGGATACGTGGAAGCAGAACAGCGCTCATTCTCCAACCCCGCTTCAAGTCGAGGCCCTTCTCATGAAAAGGGGAGCAGAATGAGACCGAATTGAGTGAAGTTTGAGAAAAAGACCCTTTGAAACGGTCAAAAATCCTTTACTTTCGCCGCTCAGAACCGCACGCTGGCGCATGAAGAAGCACTATAGAAGTACTATAGAGTATACTAGTGCTGAAGTTCAACAGTGGGGTTTAAAATACGCATTTTCCCAACTTCTGTATTACATTCAAACCTCGCGCGCGTCGAAGGATTGTGTTTGGCCGTAGCATTATCCGGTACCTTTGACAGCCATCAGCATATGGGAAACGAGGAAACGTCTGCCCAAATCTTTTTTGAGTGAGTTTCTTCGTTGCGTATGGGAAATCATCTTCACAAGCGTCCAGTCATGTACCGTCTTCAAGATTTTTATGGGTAATTTTAAAAGATGGTTTATTTAATTTTGTTCATATGTCAAGCAAGTTCAATAGACTTTATCAAATAAATATTTTCACATATGTACAGGCACAAAAGAATGTATGATAATAACAACAAGAATTTTCAGTGCCTTAGTTCTTGTTCGACCAAATCGAGTGCTCTCTCTTCTATTGTTCTACTAGTAGGATCTACTTCTACTTCCTGACGTGCTCCACTTCCAACTGCTTGTGGATCTTGAGCAGATATTGTTCTATACTGTGACGTTTTGCTTGATTCAATTCCAATTTCGGGCTGGGGACAATGATCACAGCTAGCTGGGGCTCCTGTAGGTCCGCGCGGGCCTTTGTGGCCAACCTGGCCTGGTCGTCCCGGAGTACCAGGCGCACCTGGATCACCCATTTGTAATCCGGGTGGTCCCTGTGGTCCTTGAGCACCTGGCGGACCTTGAGGGCCTGGGATCCCACGAGGTCCTGGTGGTCCTGGTGGTCCGGGAGGACCTGTTACGTAGATTTCATTCTCATAACCATCCTGTCCTCTGGGACCAGGGAAGCCTGGAGGACCATCAGGTCCTTGTGGTCCTAAAATTCAGTATGGTATGTAGATAATGGAATGAAGCCTTCTACTTGAAAAAAATCTTACCTTGATCTCCAGGTGGACCTGGCACGCTCGTGGCAGAAAGGCCATTCCTGCCGGGTTCTCCAGGAGCACCAGGTCTTCCCTTTGGCCCTCTAGCTCCCACAGGACCTGGTTCGGATTTCTGACAAACCCAACAAGGCTCCCTCTTGTTTTCGGAGACTCCTGAGACAAAAATTGCAATAAAAAAATTCAAGATACTCTAAAAGAAAAACTGAAAACTAACCATCCCTACCAGGATCACCCGGCTGTCCAGGTTCTCCATCATTACCGTCCATGCCATCCAATCCAGGCTGCCCTGGTGGACCAGGTGGGCCCGGGCGAGGGATACACCTTTGAGTAGGTTGCACATTTCCTTCTGAATTTAGGTTTATGGGAAACTCTAAAAAAGGCAGGGACTATCACCTCTATAGGCCTGGTTTCCATACGGATAACCATAAGTTCCTCGTTTTTGTCTGGATGTTTCCGGTACATTCAGCTGAAATTATTTGACTAGTCAAAAGCTTTGGCCCTATGTTTCAGCATAATGAATAAAAGGGGCCATTTTCCACCAAGGAGCTCTTCACACCTCATTCAATAGACGTAGCGTGGTGGTGGTGGATGTGTAGCACTGTTCAAGAAGTCGTTCCGAGTCAACCTAAAGTCAATAATTTTCAATTTTTGCGGGAAAACTGAGCATAAATTCAAACCTGTGATTGCATAGCTGTACTAATTAAAAGTGGAATTGATAATATTGCGAGGATGATAGTTGTAGCAGCGATAGTAGAAGTGAAAATTGCCAATCGCCGAAGGCTACCGGCAACGGCGGCACGGCTTTTCACGGTCATTGCAAGCTTGAGTGAGTTTCTGAATTTTCAACGTAGTATAGGTGACTAGACGTTGCCACAGAACATTCAAGCAATAGAAGGATGGAAGAATGGGTATGGAAATTGTCATCGCGATTGATACAATATTAGCTCCTATTAACTAGCAGAACTGGCTCAAAAGCAGGTCATTTCAAAGTGGGCCGAATTCTTTTTGTGAATTTTTTTGCGAAAGCAGAACAAGTTTGAAGGTTTGTATATATCCAAAATCTTACACAATAGGCTCATGCCCACTGCATCATTTAAAAGAGGAAAAAATCTTTTGTTTCTATTCAATGAAGAAATTCGGCGGAAACAGAGGAAGGATGTCGGAAATAGCAAAATAGAAATAATCAAAATCGACGAACATGACTGACTACTTGAGACACACAATGGACATGATTCTATCTTCTATGGCTAATAATTACGCAATCTGGAACATAGGCGGTTCTCACATGTTCCGATCCAACGCCACCAGTTTAAGACTATGTGTTTCCGAACGATATTCGCGCAGTGTTTAAGGTTATCGCTTGTTCCTAAAGGAGGAAGTAAATCACTGAATTTGTTAGAAACAATAAATCTGCAAAGAAAGTGAGGAGAATCGTTCGATGGAGTATCTGGTAACTAAAAGATTGTGACATTGTTTTTGTAACACTAAGCGAAAAAATCTTTAACTTCTTCGGACCTTCTTCCTTGTTGTCGAGTTATTTAGAGAGTTTTAGCTTATCGTTCTAAACATATTACCAAAAAAGAGTCTCTCAAAATTTAATTAAAACATTTTGGCAGGTTTTTAACTCGCGTTATCGAACAGCATAAACATCATACTGCCTTCGTAAAAGCCCTGGCTCTCCGACGTATATAAAACATCAAAAAGACGGAAAAGAAGAACAAGAACACGATTCCAAGGGGAAGCAAAAATGGAGTTGAATTTCCGCTACAGCATTGCCTTTATATTTTCTGTAAGGCATATCCGTAAAGGTGAAAATCGATAGATATCAATGGATAGCACTTTGTTCCTTCCTCATACAAGTCTTCGCAGAAGCTTGCAGAGGTTGACGAAGAAAATGAAAAAACCTATGTTACATTATCAGTCTTCGAAACATGTCCAAAGTTGTGTAATCCCACATACAGTGACCGCCAAAAATGCGGACAAGCCGCCTTCCTTTTTTCATCGCTCATTTTCGGATGGAAAACAAAGATGAAAAAATGATTTTCAAGAGCTACAATCCACACATTGCGCTTTTTGGAAAATATGTATTCTAAATATTTTAAAAGTCTTTTTCTAAAAAAAGTCCGAAAATGGCCGCGTCACAATGTCGCGGACAATAATTCTTCGAACGCGAAAATCTTCCTTCAGGTCTTCGTTTAACAAAAACAGAAGTTTTTCGGACACATTCTGTGTTGCAGAGCTCATCGAGGACAATAATCGGGTAGTAGTTACTTCCAAAAAAAATCCAAGATTGAATTATTCTGCGTTTTTTCAAAAAATAAATTCTAATCATTTTTTTCAAGCCAAATTTTGTCACATGGAAACCTATTCAAAACATCCTAACAAAGCTGTTCAGATAAAATGGATGCTCTTTGCCATCTTCTATGCATCGTACGTGTGCCGGTGAGTTTCTTTGCTGAAAATGGCTTTTGACAGTGTGTGCACATGACCCCACCTGCACCTCACCACTGACTTGCACCGTTTTGCAGGCTTTTAGCTCGGCTAGCGGTCAGTCTATGTAATAGATCCATTTCGAAGCTCTAAGACTGCTCTGATGTTGACAAGAGCTTTCACTCCAATCACCTTTAAGGCTGCGCTTCTTTACCCCATCCGCCAAATCTCCGGATCTTCCCAACTCAACTCATTTGCATACCATCGCGTCGAGGAAATCATGGTCTTTCGAATGAGTCTACTTGGAGGCTCGTAGATTGACCGCTGGACGAGCTACAAGCCTGCAAAGCGGTGCTCAGTGGTGAGGTGCAGGTGGGGTCATGTGCACACACTGTCAAAAGCCATTTTCAGCAAAGAAACTCACCAGCACACGTCTGATGCATAGAGGATGGCAAAGAGCATCCATTTTATCTGAACGACTTTGTTAGGATGTTTTGAATAGGTTTCCTTGTGAAGAAATTTGGCTTGAAAAAGGTGATTAGAAGTTATTTTCTGAAAAAAAGCAAAAAAAATCCAAGCTTGGGTTTTTTTGTAACCACTACCCGGTTATTGTCCTCAATGAGCTCTACAATATAGTTATGCTTATCTGCCCGGAAAAATTCTGTTTTTGCCCCAAGAAAAGACCTAAAAGAAAATTTTCGCGTTTGAAAAATTATTGTCCGCGACATTGTGACGCGGCCATTCTCGGACTTTTTTTTAAAAAGACTTATAAAATTTTTAGAATACATAATTTCCAGAAAACGCAATATGTGGGTTGTAGCTCTTGAAGAGCTCTATCACCTCATGCAATCTAAGCATTTTTTCAGCTTTGTTTTCCATCCGAAAATGAGCGATGAAAAAAGGAAGGCGGCTTGTCCGCAGTCACTCCCTTATTCCTGCTCTTGAGAGAAAAATTCGGAAAAAATTGTCCAGATGTCTCCACTTGGAGGATCTATAGAAAATCGCAGAAAATGTAATCCGTGCTTCATATCGATAACTTCTATGCCACAATCACATTTCATGTTGTGAACTATGGTATGTTATGATGACATGACCAGATAAATTACCAATTTTCTTGGCGTTGTAAATCCAGCATATGTTTGAAATCACTACGCTTTCCTTCTCAGGTTTTAAAACCAACAATGCTGAGCTTATGCGTTAATGTGATATTATGATTTGCTTATAGTTTATCTACAGTCTACCTACCTACAACGAGCCAATTTTGATATCCAGATCTTGGACTAGGTAGAAAGTACTACGTCTGGGGCATTTTTGATTGGATTTTTCGAATATAGTAAATTGTGTATAAATTATATCCAAAAGATGCTGATACAGTGTTTCTACTGTGTACCTACAGTACATTAAATTTGATACGGTTCGAAGTGGAGTCAAAAGCTGGGTTCCTTTTGCTATAAATAAATAACATGGTTCTTGACTAATATATTGAAAATGTCCTGGTACGGTGTAACGGCCTATTTACAATCCTAATATTCGAATTCACTCTTCTCTCGAAATTGAATCACATGCAGAATGTGCTTGCAAATGCAGGATACTTTTGAAGGACATAAACTCTCTAAGCGATTAATGTTTCAGTTCAACACACGATCGGCGCAGATTATGAGATTTTCGTTTGCGGATTCGATAAGCACTGGACAATAAACACGTATCGTTGCCGTCGTAATAATATGCCAAATGGACTGAGTTCAGCTCAATGAATCGCTTCTAAAATGAATCGTTAATGGCACTTTTGATAATATTGCCATTTTTGGAAACAACCTCTGTCTGTAGCCCTATACCTTGCACTAAAGAAGTACTGAAAGGTGAACGAGCACAGTCAGCTTACTTATCGTATTTTTATTGCAAACAACATATTTCAATATAAACCAAAATGAAAGCTATGATGAGATCATGACTCCAACGACAATGACTTTCTATATTCAGAGAGATATATACCTCAAAAGGCACTTCGTAGGATCATTCTGTGAATGATATGTTAGTCGAATGCAAGGGAAAAATCGGGTGAGAATCAAGAGTATGAACACTTTGAGAAAACTGATTTAACTAACAAATTTTTTAACGAGGACTCTCGTCAATGAGAAAGGGTTATTTTTGGAAATGTGTAAAAACACCGAGTGACAGTGAAGATGAATGAGCTTTGTACATTTTCCTAGGCAATACGCTATAACAACATTTTACACGAATGATGAAAACCCGCTTGAGAGATTTGGAGCCGGCTGAGGTTGCCAGGCTGAGGACGATTCGCTTCCACTTTCGGTGGAAACAGCTCTTGACGATGAAGTGGGAGGCGGAGGCGCAGTGCGAATTGCCTCGTTGGCTTTGACTCGGCGCCATGTGTCACTAAAGCCGAAGCATAGAGAAATTCTTCCAAAAATTGTAATAAAATAGTGATACAAGGAGAAAATAAAGTATAGGGTGTCTCAAAAGTATGTATGCACTGTTTGATCGTTAATATCTCTCTTCCCAAAAAGTCTTTCGCCTTGCTTTAGGTACCATTTTGTAGAGCTGGCTTCAACTTAGATTTTCAGCGTAGAACAAATCACCCATCTTTCTTCGTTACTGTAGGATTACGGTAGAAACTTCTAAGAGGGTTTTGAGCCATTAAAGGCCATATTTTGCCTCAGGAAAGAAACAAAACAGCCTGAAAACTTTTACACTAGGCTAATTAGAGTTGCTGATTTTGACTGTAAAGTTCCCAACTTATTATTATGCTTCACTGAAAAGTTATGCCAGGTAAGAGAAAGCTGCCATTTTTTCAATGTTCCTGAAAAGTGCGGTCACACCGTTTAGAAAGCTTCGCAAGCTTATGAATAGTTGAGTATTGAACTCAGCGCCCATAAAAACCCTACTACACAAGTTTTCACATTTTTTGAAAAATTTTGAAATAGCAGCTTTTTCCACATTGGCACCATATGTTTCAAGTTCCTACCGTAATCCTACAGTAACGAAGAGAGATGGGTGATTTGTTCTACGCTGATAATCTAAGTTGAAGCCAGCTCTACAAAATGGTACCTAAAGCAAGGCGAAAGACTTCTTGGGAAGAGATATATCAATGATCAAACAGTGATACATACTTTTGGGACACCCTGTATATAAGAGTCACTTGCAGAAAAAAATTTCAGAAAAATCAAATCAGAGCCAGTTTACTCACCGATACTGGTCACTGCTACCGTAATGACTGGCAATATTATCGCCGCCATTGTCAGCGTCATCTTTCGTACTTCCATTATCCTCCTCATCGTCAAAGGAGTCATCAGCAAATTCTTCTTGCTGGAGCGGATTTTCTGTGTGACTATAACCTATTCTGGTGCCATAATCTGCCCGAGAATATTGCACCCTAAAAGTTCATGGATCAGATTTTAATCAATTTTCATTTTATTTCATTTGATTCAATTTTCATTTCATTTTCCTTTACTTCATTTCAACCAATAATCAAAATGCGCGATACATTAAGCCAATAACGAGTGGTAGCAATATTACCAACCTGCTTATCGGATTACCGTAATCCGAGCGACTACCATATTTGGACCTATTCAGTATGTCTATGGAATCCCGTTGAGAAATATAGGCACTTCCGCGCACGTCTCGACCAACAAGAGCAGTGAGTCTATAAAGTACACTTTTACCGTACTTCCAAAAAAAGAATTTCGTTAAAATCAAAATTATTTCAATGCAACTTTCAGAGACAAAAAAGTATTTGAAATGGGAAGTTTCAAAAAAAAATCCAGACAAAGTAGAACTAACTGCTCAGCTCCTGACCTCTGCATAGCTTCTTGATTTGGCGCAGGAGGTATCACATCAGTTTCCAACCCGTACATGTTCACTACACTTCCGCTACCATCAATACTTTCGCGACCTCTCAGCCTTTCGTGGTCTCCCAAAATACTGCCATATGCAGGTGGATCTCGATCCGAAAGCCACGACTGCTTCGTGCCCGGTCTGGTTGATAACTCATTCCTAGAAACGGGTACGAGAGGATTTGGACAAAAAGACTGTAAATCTCACCTGCTTCTGCCCATGTCGCGATGATTAGCTTCCATTTGGAATGCTACGAAATTACCATTGGCTAAGTGAATGCTGTCAACAGAGTCGCGCTTCTCACGTTTGTATTTAGCGACAGAGCCTACAAAAATCAAAATAACATAAATTCTCACATCTAACAGTTGAATCACCAGTTATACACAGGAACGCCACGACCAGTACTATCACCACAAAGGTAGACATTGCTACCATAGCTATGAACCACCATGTGGTGTAAAATGGATCTTCCGGTATAAACGCTGAAACAATTGCGATTTAAAAATAGTACCAATTGGAAATGCGAAATAATAAGTACTAAAACCGAATCTCACCAGGAACAAACAGCTGCTCTGTTTCAGCACTCGCTTTCCCGATACCCTTTTCATTTCTGGCAAATACACGGAACACATAGTAGCTTGATGGTTCAAGTTCGCGATAGCTGACCTAAACAAGGAAGATTATTGAAAAAAATCAAGTAAAGCCTGGAGACAAACCTCATGATGCTGACCCGCTCCTTCAACTAATCGCAATGTCACCCATATTCCATGAATATGTGTTGGTCGACCAAATGAGCGCTTATGAAGCTTTTTCTGTTGTATTGGATTCGTTTCCTAAAATACGAAATGTAATACTTAGATCTTTCAGTAGAAGTCCCGAATCGAGCCGTCTTTCAAGAGTAGTTTCGTCCTCGTAGCGTAAGAAACATCCCCCCACCCCCTCCCCTCTTCTCTCTCACTAGACTAGACACATTCAGTAAAAAGGTGATAATATTTGACTGATATTATCTGGAAGCCAAGAAATGCTCATCTCCACTTCTTTCTTTTATCCCCTCCCCTCCCCCCCCCCCCTCTCCATTCAAGCAGAGAAGTATCTAGGACTTTCCGAACTAGTCCTGCTAAAATTTTGGAAATTTCATACCTTGGACACCAATTTCGCTTGAATCAGATGGCCAATGATTCCATCACTCCGCTCATCCTTCCATTCTACAGTCACTGACGATGGTCCAGGTATCAATGACAGCTTTGTAGGAGCTGGTGGGCCATCTACAAAAGATAACCTAGATTATGAAGCTGTACAACTGCTCCAAAATCATCTTACCTGGAATAGGTCCCAAAGTGACATTACCAGTCACTTCAGTGCCTCTGCCAGCCGATGTTTCAGCCCAAACCGCAAAGAAGTAGGTGACACCTTCTTCGAGATTCGTAGCCGGATAGAATGTCTGTTGCGTTCGAGATTGAACTTCTTTTTTGAACTCTTCCTAGAAAACATCATTTACTTCCAGAATGGAAATTTCGAAAACGATGTTGACAAACCTTCATTTTGAACGTTCTGTAGTTCACGATATAGCCAGTGATGACACCATTCGGTTCCGTTGGAGCTTTCCAAGACACACGCACCTGAACAGGAGTAGTAGCTAATTCAAAGCCATATCATAAATTTAGTAATTTACCGAGTCTAGCAGAATATCCGTGAACTTCAGCGCTCCTACCATCCCCGGTACATCTTCTAGTGTCCGTACTCGGATTCTTGAGACAGCACCTTCACCAGCTCTATTGTATGGCGTTATTGATATCTGAAGGTATTATTGATATTTATACAAGCCCTTTAAACTTCTGCAAGTTCATGAGCAAATCCTTACCTGGTATTCGGTGTACTTGCGTAAATCCGTAATCACGCATGTGCTGTTCTCAACGACCATAAGCTCTTCTTCATAAGTAGACTCGGACAGCAGAGAAGAGACTGGGAGGAATCGGACCTTGAAGTAGCTTGTATAGATAATTATAGCAACACGTAGCTACTCCATGAGCCTTTGAACTGAACTTGCACTACAGTCTATAAATGGCAGAAGTCTCCCCCCCCCCCCTCTCCCGAAGAATAACGATGCCAAAGACGTTCTCCAATGTAGTGTAGACAGACAAAAAATGAACAAAAATTTCTTTCTATTCAAGCCACAAGTCAATCGGTTACGCAAAAAATGATATCTGGAAACCCCTAGCCCTATTCTCTCACCAGCCAAAATCTCGACTTCTACAGTTTTCAAAATTTTACCTTGTATCCACTGATCGCTGCATCACCATCATCATCCCATGGATCCCATCGCACTAGCACGGAAGTGGATGATAAAGGCTCCGCTACGATGTTGCTTACATTCCTGAAATGGAGAAAAATATAAAAATTCATGGTTGAGGCCGGATGCAATAAGAAAAAATAAAATGTTTCATACCTTTTTGGTATCGAATAACCAACATAGACAAAAACTGGCGAAGAGAATGGCCCACTTCCCTCGGAGTTGAATGCTCGCATTCGGACAATGTAGTGACGGAAACTGTAGGATATAACAATATTTTGACGCAATTTTTTCATCTCGATCTCAAGACCAGCAAATTCGATTCACCTAGCCAGATTGTGCAACAGATATTGCGGTCGTTCAGGCCAAGTAGAATTTGCTGGTATCTCTACCGTAGTCCAAGTGTCGTTCTCAACAGAGAGAGGATACTCTCGGAAAGCAATCCAGTATCCGATAGCGTCTGCGTTCCAAGCTTCCCTTGAAATGTTGCCAGTCAAAATTCGCAAGTCTGTAGAAGAGTGCGAAGTCTACCTCAACGGTGTGTTCCACTGCATAAGCAAACTACTGGAATCATAGGGCGATGCCGATAGGGATGCTGGGGCTGCAGACGGCTCTGCTTGTAGAGTTTTCATCCAGTCAGACTCTGCTGACCAGACAGACTGAGAGCTGTCTCCGATAAAGCGTATCCTGAAGCGGTACTCCGAGTTTGGCATCAGCCTGAAATATTTTCAGGTTGTAGGATTACGATAAAAGTGACAATGAAAATCAAAATTATCTTACCTTGGAACTACGACACCATCGTCTTGTCCAGAAATGAGTTTATCGACAGGAATCCATTTGTCGCTATTGGCTTTTTGGTATTCAACCTTGAACATAAATGATAAGGGTAGAAAAATTAATAATTACCAAGACAACACCTCTACAAGATTTTTGAGCAAAAACAGGGCGCATCGATGAAATGATTGGATACATATGGAACATGAACAAAACGATTATGGACAAACCTGCACAAATCGCACAGGTGTATCATCATCTTCTTCCATTGGAGTCGTATCCCATCGGATCGCAATGCTTTCAGCTCCATATCTAGCCGTATCATTCCTTGTGGGCATGGGAGGAGCATGGACGGGAACTTCAATGAAGAAAAATAACGTCCAGATAAGATATCAATGCAAAAAATTCCTAATGTCATTATATGCCCACCTCGGACCGATGTCGTCACTACTTGCACCATAGCCTCTGGTCCCAATCCTACAGAATTCTCAGCTTGCACAGTAAAAGTATAAAGTTTGTTTGGCTCCAGACCTATGAAATAAAATAATAAAGCTATCTGATGGAATACGTCAGCGATATTATACCCCTCACCGTTTGCAGTGAAGAACAAAAGCGTTGATGAAAGTGGAGCTCTAATGGCCGATGACCTATCTTCAGCTGATTTCCAGTATGAGACGTAGTATGACTAGAAAACAAAATTATCGAAGAAAATCTTCAGGCATCAAGACCTGCTTGTTACTGCGCTCCAATGTATCGGAAACACTGGCTAGATTACCTTGATTTTTCCATTCGGATTCTCCGGGGGTGTCCACTTGAGGCGAACTTCATTTTCACTAATCAACGAAAAGGAAACACCGGTTGGGACATCAGGAACTAAAATCAACCATAATCAGTACATTCTTACATTCTCATCGCATAACCTCACCATCTTCGGGTGTAAGCACTACCACTGGAACTTTATTCTCAGGACCACATCCCACGATAGTACAAGCAGACGCGTAAACGAGATAGCTGGTGAAGGCGCGCAAGCCGGTAACCTGAGCATTGCATATGTCAACATTTGTTCCAATTAAGAAACGCGTACTTCACTCACCGATTTCGAGAATGTTGTAGCCCCTTGCGCTTCAAATTTCCTCGTACCATCCGCTCTTAGCCACTCTTGTTCAGGTTCGAGACGAATCTAAACAAACGACAAGCGACAATGCTGGACAAATATTGACCAAACATACATATGTGTCAATGGAAACTAATTTATCTAATGGCTGGTGTACGTACTAATGACGTTATTTCAAAGGCATTAAGGTATGTGTCATATCGAGAAAAGCGGAAAATTTGCTTTACGAGAAAATTGCGTTCATTCACAAAATTTCAACAAAAAAATCGTTCAAAAATAAACGCAATCACGATTGGAACCTCACCTCATAACCTCTAATATTTCCATTAGCTTGTTCTTCTTCCACAGATTCCCACTGTACCATGACACCTCGTTTGCTATCAACATCAGCTCGGACATTTCTTGGTGGTCCCGATGGCACCCCTTCGTAAGTCCTGAATCATCTACTTTGTTGAGACGACTGATTTATGCATCAAAAAAGCACGTACTTTGCTTCCGATGTCCCCGATGATGAGCTCCTGCCAAACATATTTTCAGCAAAAAGTTGGACTTCATAGCTTGTGTAGGGTTGAAGATCTCGCAAAGTAAAGTCGCTCGCTCGTAGTGAAGGTATGCGCACTTCGTGCTAAAGATATGGATAAAAAAACAATATCGGAGGTCAAAAATTTCAGCTGATATGAGAAAACTTGAGCTAACCCAATGATCCGTTCCGACTTCCCTATATAGTATTAGATACCCTTTCGGTTGCCCATTCCATTGATTCGCTAATAGTGGAGTCCAAGAAAGTGAAAGAGAAGTTGCTGATAAAGGCTCAGCATAAAGTCGCGACGCTGGTGTTTCTGGATTCGTTTGCTTCGTCTGAAAGAACAGTTTCAATGACAGCTAAAATATTTCGGAAAATGACCCAAACCTCAAAAGCAACACTTGGCTCACTGGGTGCACCTCTTCCACGCACATTCTCAGCAATCAGTCGAAGCTGATAGCGTGTGTATGGGCGGAGACCTTCCACAGGTATGGATCGAGCTTTTGGGGCACTGTAACACAAAATTTTTTATTAATCTGTTTCATAAAGAAGAAATCTTCAAACTAATTTCCTCTCTTTGACTTTGAACTACAAAAACAATTTCAAAAATATTACCTAACATTGTAGATGACTTGGAACACACTCGAGTCCGCTATTTTTGCCTCAACAATCCATTGTCGAATGGCTGTGTGACCATCAAAGCCGGGTACAAAGTTAATCATCGCTGATCTGGCACGGATGTCCGATACGGTAAGAGAGGTTGGCCGCCCTGGTAGCTCTAAAATGGATTACATGGGATTTTTTTTTGAAGTATAAGTTGTACCGTAAAACTTTAATAATCAAAAAGTATTATTACCTGGTGGAACTCCAGATTCGAACTTTGTTTCTTCGCGTGGGCCATCACCTTTGACCGTGGATGCCATGATGTCTACCTGGAAAAAAGTATGATACATAACAAACTGTTGAAACCGTGTTCAAAGCATGGTGGATTTTCGTCTTAAGGGACAAAAAAATAAACTAAGAGCTACCGTGTAATGAGTAGATGGGCTAAGTCCCTCAATCGTAAGGTTCCTTTGTGTGCCATCAAACTCCTGTACCGTGACGTCATTCGGGTAGGCATCATTCCAGTACCGGACCTATGAGATGGTATCCATTAGTTCCGCAACTATTTAGATCAGTCAAGACTGAGAATCAAAAAAGACTTTCTACTAACCACAAATCTCGTGATTATGCCATTTGGATGTTCTGGTAGATCCCAAGCAACCACCGCACCGTTGAACATTACCTAAAGATAAAGATGTGGTAGAAAGCTATAATACTGCCGTTTCCTGAATCAACCCCAAGATTCCACAAATCACGCTACTTACCTCAGCTATGCTTAGCCCGCTGACTGGCCCTGGAATGTCTTCGTCAGTGACCACAGATACCGGAGGACTTCGAGGGCCATCTCCAGGTGAAGTGTAACAAAGAACTGTCACATTATAATGTCCTGCAATCAAGAATTATTCGTTAAGATTATATATGGAAAAGGCTAGATTATTCACTGCTCACTGACCATATTTCTCTAGCCCTTCGACAACGACTACCAGATCTCTTGATGTTGGATCTACCATAACCTGACGATACAGAACACCTTTTTGTGGGACACCTTTCCAGAATTCCACCTAAATTACAAGCATGGAAGCTATGAAGATTGTTAGTTAGTCAAAATAACCTTGTATCCAAGATTAACGCCAGGAATTCGCTGCTGATCAGGTGCAGTAAATCTGATTTGTACAGCAGTTGAGTTCAAAACATTGGCTATGACATTTCTTGGAGACTGAGTGGGAACTAAAAAAAGATAGAATAAAATAAGACTGACTTTCGCCTCCAAAAATCTTACCTCCTTCGGCTGTAGTCACATCGATGCTTTTACTAAAAACGCCCAATCCTCTATGGTTATAGGCCGCCACCTGGATTTCGTACTCCCTCCAAGTGATCAGCTGATCGATGGCCTGAAATATAGGATCTTTCAAATTTGCGTTAGTGAAAATTCAATTTCATAGAGCCTGATACTAAAAAGCTCGCTTATAGTACAATTCCATGCAGAAGTCTAAAATAACAACCCCCACACCTATGCAATTTGTTCCGGCTTAGCACCTTCAAAAACAACTTCCAATGGTATGCCTATTTGCCCAATATGCCTTCTTAAAAAACATCCGTTATACCAGTTTTCATGGTCATTCAATTCATGCATGTTCGCCTTCAAGTACAAATCAGCACTCAAGTGTGAAAGGCAGTTCCTTAACTCACTATGATGACTCACCGTATTTCTTGCATCTTTCGTGGTCACGTTCTTCTCTATCCATGGTAGCGTGTAACCAGCAAGGCGATAACTGTAAGAAAGTATACCAGATCACAACTAAGTTGTTCTTAACTCGTACAAAGAGTGAGTGAAGCGTAAAAGATTTTCTTCGATCTTACCACAAGGTACCAGAAATGTGAAAATTTGAATGAAAAAAAAATCAGGTAAAGCAAAATACAAAAAAATTCATTGAGTCGCTTCTTATTATTTATTATTGATAGACTATTTAATTTAAATTTATTACTATTTGTTTATTATTTACTATTACTCTCTACCTATTTATCATTTTATTGACTATTTTTGCTCTATTATTCTGGGATGAAAAACTCGAGTTTTGCTCACTTGTGACAATACGATAAGTAAGTGCCAGTCGTAAATAAATGAAAGAGACGAGGGACAAATTTAGCTACAACTTGTTACACTTTCCACTCACTCTCCAAGAGTTCGTACAAAGTGACTCATTTCTTCAAAAAAACTTTTAAAAAACGATTTATCTCACTCCATGATTTTTGTGCGAAAAAACTGGATATTCAAAAAGTTGGGAAATTACAGCACAATTACAGTATCCAACTAATCTGGCATGCAATAAATAACGCTCACCGAACAATGTAACCCAATATATCCCCGCTCCATTGTTCTTCCTGTGGTTGTTGCCACTGCACTATGATACTGTTCGCTGACCTCGCCGATGCTGCCACATTGCGTGGCGCAGCCGCCGGTGGTTGCTGCGGCATCGTGACATTACCTAATTAGTATCAGTAATTATTCATAGGTAAGAACGTCATAAATTGCTGCATCTGCTACCAGACGCCAATGAAAAGCAGCAGTTCGAAATCACGATGACAAAAATAAGATATAGAATGAAAAAAAAATGTCGAACCTGATGGCAGAGATGGTTTTCCGGAACCATACCGATTCGACGCTACTACACGAAACTCGGCCGTCACTGATGGTCGGAGATTATCCACTAGTACAGAGCAACATTCCTAAACATCCAAAATCATTTTTGAGACCCCATAAATCGGCGCAACTTCACGAAGTACCTAATAATGAAGAATCTTCACCAAGTATTGATGATACCTACCTCACTAGGAACATTATCAACGACAACTTCCCAATCGCTCCAAAGTTGAGTTGGACCCACGGTTCGCATTTCAACAGCATGCCTAAAAGCAGTATTCGAGTATGTGAAAGTGGTTATCGCTCAGTAATAGATACTAACAACTCTGAATGCCCAAACTTACTTGATTATGGGCGAATTTCCATCAAACCCTTCGACCCAAGAGACACGGATTTTCGCAGGAACTGTAGTGTTGATGAGCTCAGCACGAACAAATGTAGGCATTTGGGGTCGTTCTAGAAAAAATATGCAGATAACCACACATGAAACGCCTTCGCGCAAGTAAAAGCTTCTTAGAACCTATAGGAAAGCAAATAAAAAACAAAAACAGACTATGATAGAGGTGTTACCCACCGATGATCCTCAAGAAAGCAGAAGCGCTCTCTTCCCTTCCATCAGCTGTTACAGTACATCGATACTCTCCAATGTTGTCCGGACCCACTTGCTGTATCAACAGGCCACCTTTCTTGTTGGTAAGACGTAAACTTGGATTACCGGTTGATGGAATTTGCTCATCCTGGAAAAGGAAAACTTTTTTATCCACATGCCCTCGTAATATCCTATACTTACGTTCATGAACCATACAACATTCGCGCTGGCTTCATAATCTGGGCTAACTTCACATGGTATCACTATATTCGTTCCTATCACTACACTCTGATTCGTCGGGCCATATTCGATCAAATTCGAGCCTGAATTGCATATTTCGAAGAAAGCAGATTTTTTACAGAGGTTTTGACGAACCAGTCGACATCACTTTCGCAGTAGCGCTTGTCATTCCATAGCTGTTTTTTGCTATACAACTATAGCTTCCGCTATCGGACTTCTTCAAATCATGAATGATCAAGCCGCCATTTGTCACATCATACTTGGTGGAATCCGACGTTATATCCATATCTGGGATTACACATCAGTATTCTACAAAACATATTTGGCAACTACCCTGCCACCTGCACTACCGCCCTAAAACCTCACAGCGATCGAGTTTCACAAACATTAGCCATCATAGCGCGGTATACAATTGTCAAATAGATCCCGCATCTCCTATGTTTCACCTATGAAAGGAAAGGCAATACAACTCACCATTAAAACGCCAGGTTACGGTGGCCATTGGCACGCCAGCGACAACACAAGGCAGTTTTAGTGTGGGAGCTCCGACGGCGAAGGATACATCTTTAGGTGGTACGGTAATCTCTGGTGGTGCAGAATCAGATTCTTCCCTCTCTTCACTGGCGACGGGTTGATCGGATTGGGATATCACTGAAAAACTGTATGATAACAATGAAAAATCAAAAAAAAAACATGAATGGTGTGGAAGGTATTTTAACTTTTGCCTATATGTTGTGACTATTAGTAGATTGAAAAATCCTTGCTCATTGGAAAAGAATTCTCCCCCGTGTGCGATCTCAAAAAATTAAAAGCAACATTAATCTGCAGTTTTACAATCACAGACATTCATGCTCCCTTTGAATTCACGGCAAACATCTTTTGCATTAAGAGTTTTACCTATTTCATGGATATCTCGTCCATACTCAGGCCTCTCCCCATCCCAAAGCCATAGCAGCGCTACGCAGCTCAAACAAAAAGTACTCACGATTAAAAGATTTCGTTATTTACCTTTGTCAAATATCAGAAAAACGGATAAAGGATAATTGCACTAAAGCGAGAAAAACCACAGCGCCAATAGCCGCGATAAACCTCACATTCTTAGGCATTTGAACTACATCGCAAAGAACGTTTACTTTCACGACTACTTCCTCGTTTCGGATGCAATGATTGCCCATCAATAAGGCATTTGCAAAAAGACGATGGCCTCGATGGAAAGAGTCAATAACAAAGCCATTACGGCTATTCAAAAACGTTGGTACACAAGCGAAGGTTGACTGGGATATACAGAATGAGATTTTTTGTTTTAAAAACAAAAAAAAGAATGTGTTAATCAGAAGATAAACAAACTTGAAGGAAAAATCATAAATCACTTCGTTCAAATCTTCATTCAAAAAAATCATGTCTGAGGATAAGGCTAGAACGAGATACCTGGATTTGCAGCCGCTCCCTCCTTCACCCACACACTAATCATGGTGGATCCAGCCTCATTTGTCGCTTCACATTGGTATACACCATAATCGCTGTGCGACAGCTCTTTGACCACTAGTCGGCCCCTTTTCGCGACAATCTGGAACAATCTTGTGAAGCCTCCGTGCGCAAGCGACAAAGTGCCCAGGCAAATCCCCTTTCCCGCTGTTCGCTATGAATTGCTCCAAGAGTTTTAGATCCTTCTGAGGAGCCAATGTGAAAGTGGATTAGCTCCCGATAAATGGACCACATTGAGCCCTCGCTAGTCCCATCAAGAAGTAAAATATGGCGGCATCAAGTGGATTAGTTGCAATATGCCCTGGGTGAGAGCGCGAACCGGTCACGACTACCACCTCACGACAAATCGCGACACAAAGCGGCACTCCTGAGGATTGCCAAAGGCTAGTCTCAAACCCTCGTGAAGGTCAAAACGGATGAATAGCGGACAACTAGCGGTAAGTGCAGCTTCACTTTTTCCCTCAGCCAAGAACCAGAATCCCAGTAGAAAAACGCTCTCTCAGAGGCAATCCCGCATCTCACAGAGACAACGCGCACAGGCCATCGGCATGTAACAACTATGTAAATAAACAACGGCGATGGTCATCCGAGCTCTTATATGTGCTCAGCAAATAGCCATCTGACCGAATAGTGGGAAAAGCGAGGCTATGTGCAAGATGTCATCAGGAGAGCGGTTGACTACAGGAAAAAACAAAATCATGCAAATATTATACATTCAATGAAAGTCACAAACAATGATAACCTCAACAAAAAATATCACCTTAATATTGTTCGTTATTAAAGGAAGCTTCTCCATGAAACTCATACAACAGTAATCTCCATCCCTAAACAAATTTTCTGCTGCAATGTCTCCCCTCCTCCTCCACCTTACGCATCCACCTGGCTCCGTGATAATCTTATCATCCTTATTCAAGGTTGCATAACACAAATTAAGCTCAACCCCAGTCGATAAGCGTAAGCTCAGGTCACCGTGCTCTTCTAATTAGTCACCCACGTAATCCTCAAAAACATCGCAAAGACATCTGCCGGGCAGTCGCGATAGCCATCAAAAAGGGTTTTTTTAGGGTTCACCTTGAACTCGATAGGCGAGATTGGTAAGTACGCCGTGCGATGTGCGCACTTATCTGTATTTAACTCTTTCGACAATCGTAAATCTATTTCTGAGTACTAAAATCACTTTTGCAAAAAAAGGAAAGATAAAAATTTGACTCTTTTTTTTCTCCCAATGTGGGAATGCACGGTATCTCAGCGTCCAACAACAGACCACGTCATGTATAAAATCATCTACACCGGGCCTGGCCGCTGTAGATGATTTTTTGTAGATGACATGCAATCCGACATGCACAGCATAAGTGGAGCATAATTATGCAGGACAGCGTAATTTTGAACGTCGCCACTCGTCAGACATTCTCAGGACATCCAAGATGATAGGAAGTCGTTTTGAATAATTATTTTGTGTTGTTTGTGAGAGCGCACCCAAACAGCATTCTACCTCTGTACAATGTTCTGTTCTTCCAGCAAAAATAAGAGTTCCAATAACCTAAGCGTTCAGAGTGGTTGCAGGATGGGAAGTAGGCGATGGCAAAAAATATAAAGACGATGTAATAAAAAATGGGTGGTACATTGCATAAAAATATGAATTTAACAAAGAAAAACAAAAAAAACCTAAAATTTAGACTTCAAAGTAACCCACTGATGTTATACGGGTTATAGGGAGTAAGTAAACTCTATAACACAAATGACAATGCATGTAACTAGCTTACACATTTTGCGCCTGTAATGCTCTGCCTGTTGTTTTTGTTGATGTTTTGGTAACACATAAAAAAAACTTTCCTGCATAAGTGAGATGAATGAAAGGAAAGCAAAAGATGTTTAAATTGTGGTCAAAATCCAAGACTAAAAAACGAAAACAGATACGTTTTGTTCCCGCACAGACTAATACTCTCTCTGGATACCAATTCTTCAAGCTCCCCACAAACCACCGTCTTGCTCCTAATTATAGCCATAAAACCCTCATTCACAGAATTTGCACCTTCTTCCACGTCGCGTCTCGCAATTAATTAATCCCACCGTCGAACCCGCAATTCAAACAACCGCTAGCTGCTTATTAGACCACATTGCGTGTCAAGGAGCATACTACGATACCCTTCATTGCGTCAACTATGACAAAGATGTGGTCATTCACTCCAAACTAGGTCACATACGACTTACTCCCTTGTATGGAAACGTGTTGGCGACTATGTGGACGAGGTGGCCGCGTGAGGTGGACAACCAAGCGCGATGGTGCCAATTAGTGGGATAACTACGAGCAGGATTATGCATCCAGCCAGTGCTATACGGATTTGGCAATAATGAGTACGTAGTGAAAGTCTTGTCAGTGCTCATCATGGATGGTAGCGCAAATTTGTAAATAAGCAAATGCGGTGAGAAGAAAGTTTGAAAATATATAGAAAAAGGTGCAAAAAACGTGCACCTACCTCACGACCGTTGAAGTACCATTTGATTGATGTGGGAGATTCACTTTTTACTTTTTGAGCACAGTGCAGACTTAATTCTGAACCCGAGGGCCGCATAAGTTCCGATGGAAGAGGTTTGAGAATTGGCAGTCCTAAACAAACTTTTTTTCGAAGTGAAAGATGGTATACTACTGCAATCTCACCTACGACACTAATCTTCAAAGACCTCTGATCGAATGCCCGTCCAGACTCCGCCACCACCTTACAATCCAATTTATGTTCGTTCCGACCCTGCAATGACAGAAAAGATCGTAAAGACGATAGCTTTGTGATTCAATTACTGAAAACTACAACGCAGGGTTGAGAAAAAATCGCAAAAAACAAGACTTGCAGAAAAAAAAACTAGCAAACGGGTATGGCTCACTTTCATCAAAAGTAGCGGAGACACTAGAGTAAGACGTCGGTTGTTTTGAGATAAATCGACACCATTCTCAGTCCCCGTTATGGCAGTCTCGTCAAGATACCATCGAGTTCGAGCTCCATTCCTGAGAATCAAACAATTAAGAGACAAATGAAAAATTCTTAAGATCTGCACTTTGCGAGAAAAAAATTAAGATGCCAGTTCCTCGGATCAATGACAGATGCTAATTGGATGTGTCATATGAACAGATTTTCGAAACATTACAAATGAACTTGCTAAGCAAATTCGAGCTTCAAAAAAAAACTTTTGCACTTGAATAGAAAGAGAAGAAAACCAACCAATGTAGCGTTCATTGGCTGTATGTACTACCAAAATGACAATAAATCTATTCTTATCAGGTAGAAAATAAACAATGATGTATGAAGAAATGAAAGCAATCAGAGTAACTCATGACAAACCTTCTGGATGCCACACAGTCGAAGATCTCAGAGTTCTTCTGCGCCGTCCCCGAATCAAGGATAGTCCTATCTTCAGAAAAGTAAACTATAGACAACGCATCGAAGGATTCCCTAAAAGAAAAAAAGGCGTATAAATCTAATAGATTTTCAAAGAAAAATATAAAAGGGCAGATAAAAATGCCTATAAATATCTCACCCTACACTCTCATTCGGCCGAACGGTAAAAACGCTCGAAATTGCTTCATTCAATCCTTCAGCGGATGCGACCACCTAAATTTTCCGCTATAATGATATCACATCTGTCACACTGCGCATGCTCAGCATCGTCCTCGCTACCTTATAGTCTCCAAACGAGTCACGCGTGACATCTACGACCACCAGATCTCCCCTTGAAGTGATGTAGCGTGATCCATTCGAATAGACCTGTAAGCATGAAATCGTATTCGGCCAATCCACTTCATCATCGCAACAATGGCTCTTGACGTTGTTTGCTATTCATAGCTTCCCGAGAAGCATAGGCACTTTTTATCAGTGCGACGATAGTGCTATCGATGGTTTACTCAAACCCCACTGCCTTTTTCGGACTATATTTACACAGGGCGGACGGCTATCATCAACACAATACGCAGCGGCCCGTCTCGTACGATGCCGACAAACAAACTGCCTGTCATGGTAAAATAAGCTGCAGGCGTTTACAATGCTAGGTGAGCTCCAAGAAACCGACACCATGAGAGGAATGTAGAGAAAAAGAGCTTTCAGTAAACCGAAGAGGTGAAAGGCAAGCATTTCTGGAAACTTGAAGACAAAAATGACTCGATGAAAAACGATTCGACCAAAATTAGACCGTGCTTTCAAATACAAAGAGCTCTTTTGTAAAGGATTCGTTCTGGGTAGTGAACACTAGATAGAGATAGAAAACAAGAAAATAATATAAATTGAAAACCTGAACAGAAACTAGTTAGAAAGCAAATCAGGCGGTATGAAACTAGTTTTCCTAAGCCTGCGCCAAAAATAATCAAACATTCCTAAAGCTTATTTTCTTCTCCAAAACAATACCGCCCTGAAACCCCACTTCCTCCGTTTTCTCGCCATCCCGCCGCTGATCTCAAGCACAAACATTCTCGGCGCCAAAAATGGCTTCCCAACCACACAAAAAAAAACCAGTTCGGTATCGCGAACTGAGTTTGAACGTTAACGACTGTATGTTCAGTTCATTGTTCCGTTTTGGAAAGCGGTAATGAGAAAATGCCATCGCAAGCGAATACAATGTAATGTCAATGAATGTCAGCGATTTCAATGGTGGAACAAACATGACGCGATTTGGTATGATCTCGTTTACCAATTGTAAGCATGACGTTAACTGCAAAAAGTTGCAGCTGTAGATATTCTTCAATTGTTTTAAGCCGTAACAGGTTTTTAAAGGAACACTTTATTTACTGCCCGACGTTTCGGCTGAATGCCGTCTTCAGGGGCCTGAAAGCGAGTCAATCACTCTTTAATCAAACGATCTAGACCACCAGACACTTCCTCCAAATCGTATATTTGACTCATCTATTGTGACGCAGATAAGTTCTCAAGTTGAACAGCTTACCAAGTGTTCCTGGTGAGGAGCGTAAGGGTGTTAGCTCTCTCTCACGGTCGCCCACAGCAGATGATGATGTAGTATATACGAAGTTGTATATATATGTTAGTTAAGTTATATAAGTTATATATGAAGTTGCAGCTGTATTAGCCGAAGACAGTTTTGTTAAACAGATCATTTTAAAAGGGCATCAAAATCAATGTTAATGCAGATTTTTATTTCACCTCGAACAAAATGTAGACGTACGAGGTCTCCGGCAATACAGCAGTGCTTTGCCATGAACAAATAATCTCGTTTAAAATTTAGGCATTTTAGACCAATTTTCGCTAGAAAAAATTGCAATATTAAGACAAAACTTTTTTAACGTTTGAACCAATATCGACACCATAAATCATGAAAGCTAAGAAATTTTGACACTTCATTATCCTTATTTTTAACACAATACTTGAAAATCTTTTCCATTCTGTGTTGTCACAATACCCTCCATGATAAAGCAGGATAATGAAGGCCACAAGAGGTCTCAATTGCGAATAAATGAGCCCCATGCATTCCTGAGTAAGACATGGCGACTTTCGTGAAGAGTGAACGGAATCGTAAAATCACAAAGAAAGCACGCGTCAAAAGAGATCAATTCGGAAAAAAGTAGCAAGAGGTGTTGAATAGCGCAATCTCGCATGTTTAAAAAGCTCCGACTAGTTTTTGTGGATGCCAAAATCTGTGTCAAAGTGTTTGTTGTCATTGCAGCTGAAAGCGAAAGAAAAGCGTGCAAGAGATACGTGATCCTCAGACACTGTTTTTCCAGCGAGATATTTATTCGAAACATGGATCAAACTACAGTTTTTATCTTCAGCTCTCAAACAATAGTTGTGCGCTCCGATAACATCAGCAGATTCAGGGAAAAATCATTCTGAGCACAGTGTCCTTTTTTTATCAATCGCAAGTAACATGGCATTGCGGCGGGGTCAATGAGAGAGCGCACATCAAATAAATATGTAATTAGCATATAAAACATGGACAATAACTGTAAAATCAAGAAGATATTTCTAGAAACAAAAGATCAGAAAACCTTTTGGAAAAAGGTGCAAAGAAGAGAATAACAAGAGCAATTGCAGCTTTACCTGACTATCGCCATTGAACCATGAGTAATCCATTCCAGACAGTTCACCACTGGCAAGTAGCGCTGGTCTTTTGAGCACAAAATGGCCTCCTTCTCTAACAAAAATTTCTTTTCTGCCGGCATCTTCTTCAAAACCATCCAAATCTGTAAGATTTGAATAGAGGTCCATTACACCTTCCTACTGCTTGTACTATTTCAGTCCCAAAATTTCAAGCACTCATCCTACATTCCACCCATAATTCATCAAGGTACGAATGCTTGAAAAATAAGAGTTAGGTGCTTCAAAGCCGCTTGAATTGCTCCTGCACCGCGCAAAACAAGCACTCAACTTGCGATCGCTGCACCTTTTTTAGTGAAAGGAAAAGAACACTGAAGCCGCAGAACGAAGGGAATTGGACTCAACTAAGGGTAACACTGTCATTTAGGAGCCGAAATCGTATAAGCGTAAGAAAGGACTATGTAAAAACAAATGTAGAAGTAAGCAAATAGTGAAAAAAGTGACCCCAAACAGAAAACTGGACACTCACATTGAACGTCGACCTTGATTGGCGGCGACAAAACAGAGCCAACAGAATTCGAAACTATGCATCTGTACACGCCGGAATCATTACGATTTGAGGCCGACACTTGCAAAATGCTTGCTTCAATCGCGGTTGTGACGCCATTCTTCAGCCAAAGCACTTTTTCCGCAAGATCTGCGCGACAGTTCAAAAGTAATGACTGCCCTTCGGTCAGACGAATCGAAGCGGGAAAATCTTCTTCGCGAAAAGACGGCGGTCTTCCGCGTACTAATTGAGCACGACAAGTATAGTGTAGTAATAATACCAGTAATATGCGAATCAATGGTGAAGAAATGTTTGTACGAAGAAAGCACATCATGTCACCGGCAGCATGGCAATGTAGAAAGCGGAACGGTTCTGGAAGTAAACTGTTTTTGCAAAAAGTGCTTGAAGAGCACATTACGCGAAGAGGAGCGAAAGTGTGTAAGAACGTGATAGTTTCAACTTTCAAGCTAAATCGAGAGCAGCAAAGAGGAAGCAGCGAGAACCATGTACACAAAGTGCAACGAGATGAACAAAGAACAAGGACAGGGTCTGCAAGCCATGTCCTGATCACTGCTTGCTAGGCTTCCGTTCGGAAGAAAAATGTACACCAAGATAAACAGATATGGTTTCAACGGTAAGTACGCCATGATATTTGTATGTTTGAATTTTCTGGTAGCAACTTGACCAAAGTCCGAATGAAGACGATTCTGCTAAGAGAAGCTCAACACAAGAAAAATGATATTAAAAAATTACAGATAAGAAAGTAAATTGTTCTAAAATTTGCAAAGTGAAAAATGCATAATTATAATCGAAGAACACCCACTGAACAAAATTCAACGCTTTGTTTCGAGGGTCATATTACCCACCGGAAATGGACGACAGCTGATACAAGCGAAAAGTCCAATTGGCCTAACTTGACGAACAATTTTTACGAATATTTTGTTGAGTGCTGCAAAAAACATGACGGACTGGAATTATTCTACTCATGCACACTATGAATATGTCGCAAATTTGGCCACTGCAACGCCAAGCTACCATAATTACACTCTAATTAGCACGAAACAACTATAGGACAGCTATCGCAACCGGCTGCACCGATAACACTTCAAACGGACACAATCAAATCAACAAAAACACAACACAATGATGATTGTAGTAGAATCAGAGCGAAATACAGTATGAACGGAGAGAAAATTTATTAGCAGGATGGACAAAACGCTTGAGAAATGACAAGCATGTGAGAACATAGCAGATGATGACCTCTGCAAACGCAATGACACTTATCTCTACACTGCCACTTGAAATTCCGAAGAAATCGATAAAGACTGAAGAAACTGTTAACTACTCAAATCTCAGCGACTGTCTTAGAGTAGAAAAATTCGTATATTAGTATGTAAGCAGCAATTCTTTATAGCGAATCATAAAGAATGTAAGCAAGCGATTTCATAGCATTGAGATGATTTTTTGACATCGTTACAAAAGAATGGAGCCGCAGTGCAGAAGAAGAAGAAGTAACAGCGTTTTATACAGGTTTTCTCTTCTGGAAAAAGCAAGATAAATAGATAACGAAAAAAAAAGAAGAACGACCATTTACATAGCAAATTATCTCTACCAATGATCAATTGGTACAACATTTACCCATAGAAAAAAAGGAACTATGATGAATCAGCATCTTCGTCAAAGAATAAGCAAGATGGATGGAGGCAAAAGTATAGAAAAACAAATCTGATGTGTACCAAAAATCAATCAATTATTAATAGCAAAGATTACTATGACCTCAAAAAAAGCTAACCTTGATTTCTCTAGATTTGTCTTCCTCAAATTCACACAGAAACGATGCGAAAATTGACCTCGACCAAGGACTGTATCCAGACAACCAAACTATCTAAGATTATGTACGAAACAATGTCAATAAAAACTCGTTTTCTACTCATATGACAAACTTGTAGTACGAATACCGCGCAGCGCATCCAGCAGATGCGCTACATTAATAACGAAAGTATTAGCTAGCGTAAAGTTGATCGAAAGGTTGTGGTAACTGGAGCGAAAAACTGGAGGGGGGAAGAGTTGAAAATGCGAAGAGTCGCTACTTCAGCGCGTATGCACTTTTGCAAAAACTTCGCTCTTCTAAGGGGGGCTGCCGTGGTTATTGAAAGGAAAAAACGTTCAGGAGTTTGACAAAGCAATGCAAGGCCGTCAAGAGCTTCGATCCATTAGCAAAAACATTCTCTTAAGAAAGAAACATTGACTCGAGGGAAGCAGAGCAAATCTGAGATTAGTATGGGCAATTAGTGCAAAAAATTGCCCATTTCGTAACAAATAAATCAAAACCAAGAAGAGATCAAATAATGCTTCTGACAAAACATCAAAAAATTGACTGTGAATGGCATCGCATACAAAAAAAACTAATGAATTTCTTGACAAAGATAGCGATATGAAACGTATAAATCTGCACAGAGACACAATCAAAAAAAAAAGTAAATGAATGGTAAAAAAAATGCAAAGACGTTACACAACGTGGCTAAAGAATAAATGATACCTTTGAAATTGCCGACCGAGCAAAGAAAAAGTGAAAAGATTGTCGCCGAAGGATCAAGACATTCGCGTGCAATTGGAACGCAAACCTTCATCGCTCGAAGTAGAATCACAAACGCAGCGCAAACAAACGTTTGAAAATTGTTGTCGCAAGTGACGCAGGTAAAACAGCGCAATGCAGTACACTATTTTCTTGTTCAAGTACACAACAGTTTCAAAACCAGTTCAACAATTACCTGGTGCCATTCAAAAAGTGGCAAAAGTACTCGTAATGACGAGGAATGATTGCTTGAATACGCTTTTTCTGTGAATGAGCCTATTAACAGAAAGCAGATTGGTGATATGTGCTTTTCTGCGATAAGAAAACATGAGAGATGACGTGCTAAGCGGCGCAAGTGATCATTAGGTCAGCAAAAAAAGATAAGGAATAAAGCCATAGTAGAGTGTAAGGTGGAGAGGTTGCTTCCGGTTTCCTGAAAAATGTTCCAGACAAAAATTTTTGCAGGAGAAATGAGTTCATGGAGCAAATGTAGAAGAAGTTTTTGATAGTGGATTTAAAATGAAAGCAGCAACAAACAGACAAAAATCGACTCGACTGCTGGAAATTGAACTTTGAGTTTTGAGGATAGATCTGGCGGTGGAAAAAAAGAAGTGAGATCAAAAAAAGCAGAGCGAGAACAAAACAGCTGATGCCCTTGTGACAGAAAGAGTCAAGTGGTCCTTTACCCAGAACAAAAAGTTTTGTGGGAGATGAAAAAGAAGTGACGGAAGCGAAAACGATGAGATAAGCACAACTTCAGGACAAGGTGAACTACCAATGTAGATGAAATATGGATACAAATGCCTCAAAGTTTGTTTGAAACAACTATGTAACAAAAAATTTTAAAAAAGCAATAAAGCTTCACAAAAACTATCAAGCATTTGGATCTAATGCATTTTCAAAGGTACGATATGCGTAATGTTAATTGCTCAATCTGAAATTGCGTAGAAGTGGTGGGAACGATCCAATCCATGGTGCAAGGAAGCTGCGCCAAAAAAAGCTTGTTATAGTTTCCTGTTTTAGCAATGTTCTGCAGAAGCATTGACCTAGAGCAAAAAGTAACCTAGCATGGTTACAATGCGTCACGCTATCAAAGGGAGAAAGGAACTGAAGGAGGAGAAATAAAATAGAATGTAGAAGTGGGGAGTGCTGTTTGAACAAGCAATGGGCAAGAAAAGTAGAAAGAGATACTATTTTTAACAACAAAAATGAGCAAGATCACCATCTAGGAAACCGTGTCGTACCACACCTGCGCGTTGTGTGTGAATGAAGAAATTGCCATGGTCCTGCGCAAGCCATGCGTTGCGTAATGGGCGTAGGAGACGCAGGTGACCGAGTCAATAAAGGCAGGTAAGGGGGGGGGGGGGAAATGTTGAATGATGAGGGACGACCGTCAGGTCTTGTCGGTCGGTGGCTCGGGCGTGGACGCCGCTTGGCCTGACGGCCCGGCCCGTACGATCAAGGCCACCGCCGGGGCGGGGCCTTGACTCGACGGGGGTGTGGATGGACAGGGGGGGGGGGGGCACACGCGCGAGGACAAACCCGCCACCCGATCGCCTCTGTGACGACTAACTCCCCCGTATGGGTCCGGCCATCATGGCAAGGTGACTGCTATCAATCACTTGCGCTGCCGTGACATCTCCGCGAACGAGTTTGAAAGTTTGAAATGGGAAAAAAGCGGTTTGAAATGTGTTTTCTATAATTGTTCTCTCGCATAGGGTACTATTTGATTGATGGGCAATTCAAATATGTTGGAGAACATAAATGTGTCTGCAGAACGGTATGTTCAAGGCAAAACATTGCGAGACGAACATAGGGTCGGACAGGATTTGCGCGTTTGTGCAGTTGCAGAATTTAGATACCCATTCTTCTGGCACATCCTTGTCTAAACTTATTTTTGCAAAATAGTGAACATTAGTAGCTATCAAGCACCTTTTCTCAGGCAGAGTGGTTGATTGGGCGAATACAAAAAGACACACTCGCCATTGATAGCCACACATATCCGCTTAGCCGCTCATGATTGGTCAAATAAGTGAGCTGACCAGTCATGAAGCAGTTATAAGGCTAAGCGGATAAGTCTGCTCTTTGCCTAGGACAAGTGTCTGAGAAAGGTGATGATAGGTGCTAATGTCCATTAGTATAGGAGAAACATCTAGACAGGGATGTGCTCTAAATGGGTACCTAGATTCTGCAATTGCACAACCGCCTGCCATAATTGCTTTGACTGTGGCTGCCCAGAGTGCACTGATTAAAGTTATTCAATGCCAATCTCAAGCAATTGAAACAGAGAAAGATTTGTGAATTTTTGAGATGCTTAGAGCTCTGTTGTGAACAGCCATACTTCGAATAATCTTTAGCTCTTTTTTGTCTACAGCAGCTCAATAGCCATCCTCAAGACTGGTCAGTTCCGATCAAACTGGCATTGTAGAGTCGGTTTTATGATGATCTGTCCGCTTCTTTCCCAGCCTTCTCGATAACGCTTGGAAAAAGGTTGGGAAATGGTGATTTCTTGGAACCCGGTAGGAGCAACTAGCAAGATATTGACGCAGTTAGTTGCAAATTGTGTAAAAGTGCGTGCAACCCGTTCACACTGCGAAAAATGAGTATTGTTATTTGAGTCAAAAGTATGTCAGAGGTGGCCATTAACATTTGCCTCCGGTTTGCGAACTATGAAGGAGGTAATTGCTACAGGATTGAACTCAAATAAATATGAATTGAAACTCGCATTAAGATGCGTTCCGCTTCGAGGACCAGGATTGAGCTGAGAATGATATTTATGTGAGCGATTCGCTATAAAATCCCTTCAAGCTT